CCAAGCCCAGCTTGAATTTTCTAAATGCAGCTTCATCATTCTGCAGATCAGCAAGACTCACTTCAAACACATGACCTTTGAGGCCATCGGATGCAATTTTGGTTCCTTGAGTCCTGGTGGTGTTTTCAGGCATTTCTTATATTGAACACAGCAGGCGCCTTCATATCATACCAGTCTTCCTTAGGAAATGGATCAACCACTTTCTTCTTGGCTCCCTTTTTTCCACCTTTCGTAAGGGACTTGTTCTTGCCAACTGACAGCGTGGTGCTCAGAGAGCCAAAAGGGCAGTTTTACTTCTTCTTAACATTTTAATTTATTTATTCATTTCTTTCTTTCTTTTTTAGAGACTGTCTCACTCTGTCACCTATGCTGGAGTTCAGTGACTCAATTATAGTTCACTGCAGTCTTGAACTCCTGGGTTCAGGCTAATCTCCCACCTCAGCCTCCTGAGTAGCTATGACTACAAGTGTATGCCACCTCATCTGGTTGATATTTTTTCTTTTTTAAGAGACTCAGTTTATCACCCTTGGCAGATGCCATGGTGGCATCACACAGTTCACAGCAATCTCCAACTCCTGGGCTTAGGTGATTTTCTTGCCTCAGCCTCCCAAGTAGCTGGGACTACAGGCGCCCGCCACAACACCTGGCTATTTTTTTTGTTGCAGTTTGGCCAGGGCCGGGTTTGAACCTGCTACCCTCAGTATTTGGAGCCAGTGCCCTACACACTGAACCACAGGCCCCGCCCCATCTGGTTGTTTTTTTTTTTTTTTTAACTTTTTTCGTAGAGACAAGGGTCTCATTATATTGCCCAGACTAGTCTCAAACTCCCGGCCTCAAGGGATCCTCCCACCTTGGCCTCCCAGAGTGCTAGGAGGTGTAGGTGTGTGCTACCATGTCCAGCCCCTTCAAAGTCTTACCTTTAGGTTTTTCACCCATTTTGAGTTAATTTTTGAATATGATGTAAGATAAGACTCCAACTTCAATCTTTTACATTTGGCTATCTAGTTTTCCTAGCACCATTTACTGGGAAGACTCTCCTTTCCCTAAGAATGGTCAACATCATTTTGATTATTTTTAGTTTCCTTTGAGGGGGATTGTTTTCTTTCTCTTTCTGTTCTTTTCTTTCTTTTCTTTTTCAGACAGAGTCTCACTCTGGTGCCTGGGCTAGAGTGCAGTGGTGTCATCATAGCTCATTAAACCTCCAATTCCTGGGCTTTAGTGATCCTCCTGCCTCAGCCTCCCAAGTAGTTGAGACTATAAGCTTGAGCCACCACACCTGGCTAACTTTTCTGTTGTTTGTAGAAATAGGTCTTGCTCTTGCTCTGGTTAGTCTCAAACTCCTGGTCTCTAGCAATCCTCTTGCCTCAGCCTCCCAGAGTGCTAAGAGTATAGTTGTGAGCCACTGCGCCTGGCCAGAGCTGGATAACTTTCTCATGCAAGGATCTACCCTCATTAAAAGGCACTGTAAATTTTTTTTAAAACCCACACAGAAAAGTACACTTACTACAAGTGTACAGCTTGATGGATTTTCACAATCTGTGTACCCCTATATAACCAGCATCCAAATCAAGAAAGAAAAGTGGCGCGGTGCCTGTGGCTCAAGTGGCTAAGGCGCCAGCCACATACACCTAAGGTGGCGGGTTCGAATCCAGCC